CATAATTTCGCAATAATATTATATAAGATGTATTATACACACCTGCAATAGAAGAGTTGAGAAATAACGAAATTAATTGCCTTTTACTATCGAACGAAATTACCGACATAATAAATTTCTTAGTAATGATTGGGAGAAATAATATTGTTGAATTCGATCTCGCAGAGATTAAATTAATAAGTTTATTTTCGCTGCATTTCTCTTCGGGAAGAGATAATCGGTGACTTATCAAAAGTGTAATGCGATGATCTTGTCTTGTATGTAACATGAGGTACGAGAAATATAAACTTCAAAATATGAACTACAAATGCTTGCATGTACTGCAATAATTTGCAAAGTTTTGCGGTATCAATTAAGAATGAGCAAGTACAGTACCGTGGCGTGCTGTTCTTGTTAATGTCTAACTGTATCTACATACTGTGCATACATATAGCTAATCGTTATTCTGCATGTAATAAAATACAATTGAAACTTAAATCAGTATGCGTATCATAGGAGCAAAACGTAAAATGTAATGTAAATATTATCTAAAATACTGAGAGTATAATATACAAATAAAATAACGAATGAGAAAGAAAAAAGCAAATAATGGCAAAAATAGCGCGTATATTAAAATTATATAAGAGAAAAAGAAAGAAACGTTTGACTGATCGCTTCAGGATCCGCGTCAAGCGACACTGTGATTATGGAAAAAATGGCACATTTATTATATTAGTGATAATAATATTACTAATGATATAATTACATATTTTTTCTTTCTCAATCGATACACTTGTTCACTCTCTCATATTCTTTCTCTCCCTCTCTTGCACTCTTCCGTTTATTTCTTTCTCTCTCTTTTTTATTCCGCTTAGATATTTATATTCATCTCGTACTTCATTAATATTAATAATCGCATCATTCTTCTTAATCGCATGTAGGGTCGAAGAGATCGGTTTCAACATCCTCTAGGCCCATTCACACAAACTGTCTACAACCCACTTACGCATTAATCTTTTTTTATTACATATTATACAATATTATATATCTAATATAGTTACACCCTTATATGATATGATAATTATCGATTCGCAGTTGTACCAATAAAACTGAACCCTTACACACAATTAGACCGCAACAAGTTTTCATTGATATTTATGCTTAACAGTAATCAATAAATTGAAATCAGTTTACAACCAACTCATACCAAAGTGCGGTGCCCCGTATTCTTGATATGCACGTACTTGAAAATATAACATCATTATTATAAGAGCATAATTATTTCGTTTCATTTACAAAGGTCTGTGTGAAGGAGCCACTATGGCCGACAATTTCGACTTCGACCCCCTATGTAGACCTCTTCGCTCTTCAGCTTCATTTTGACTATCTACGACTATCGACACGTGTCTAGCTTAGACTGGCTTACGAGCTATTTATTGTCGTTATTATTTTACATGATTACCTTCGCGAATACAGATGTGTGATCGTGTATTTTATTAGTATCTGTGAGCGGCGCTTTTTGCAATTCATCGCAATATACATTTATTTGTTACGTTCTCTTTTCCTTTTTTTGCACCCTCTCCTCCCTTTTTATGTTAAATATAATTTTATAAAGCGTCGCCGAAGCAACGGAGCATGATTAATGATTATTAATTAAATGTGGAGCGAGGTTGTGCGAGTTCTTGCCGATCAGCTTGCCTATAGTCTACAGATCCTGATCGAGAACGAAAGTGATTTTATGATACGTCTACGATCTAGTGAAAATACGTAAGTTTACAGTTTATAAAAATCAGCGTTGGGACAATCTTTTCAATTCTTCTTGTGTCTCGTATTAACTGGTTTGGAAAATAAAATATTTATAATGTTAGTATCGTATCAAATATTATAGAGTATTAACAGTACTTAGTACTGTATGATCGCATTCTGATTCGCAACCATAGAGATCTTTATTTTACATTTATATCATGCGTACATGTTCAACTGTGTCTTTAAAATATTTTTCATATATCATACATCATACAACTGAAGCAGATGTTCAGTTCAAATAATTTGAACGTTTTATAGCTAATTACAAATAAAAAAAGATTTGTGATAAACGATTTATCAAAAAATTTTTTAATTTACATCGTTTCACTTAAAACGACTTTTTAATTTAAATATAATAATTTATATTTATAATAATATTCTGTATAATTTTGCGTGATAAGAAAATAATGTAATTCAGAAAAATATTATTACAAAAATATACAAACTGAATCAAATTAAAATTTGAGCGAAAGAGAGAAAATATGTTGTAGATTTCTGCAATAAATATATATATACATATATATGATATGTTTGACATATTTTGATATGAGTTCAGATTTTAAGAGTTGTAAAGGAAAAGCCTGTCAAAGAGTCTAAGCAAAAATATATATAACATTTATATGATCTTCCGTAATTTTTCTTTGAAATACTGTCTTTGAAGAAAAATATAGCTGTAGATATATGTTATGCAAGAGAAGATATACTTAGCAGATGAAAGGAAAAAGAAAGTAGAACAGAAAAGAGGCGAAATAAACACGGGCACTCGGATGTGTTTGCGTTGGTTTCTTTTTTTCAATAAAATTTATTTAAGAATCTAAATAAATTAAAATACATGGCAACTGGGTACAGATATGTTTGAGCTATATTTTTGTTCAAAAACAAAAATGTCCCGTTCTTTACTTCTCACGAAAGATCTTATCAACGATAATTAATTGATATTAATAATAATAATAATTAATAATAATTAATCATGATTATGACAGATTGATTGGTTTGGCTCTTCTCGTACTTGTGCGAGCTAAATCATGTTCATAACGATCTTATATCACGCCTTATGAAAGCTTTCGTTCGTTCAATATATTCCACTTCACCGCGTATATATAAGTACAGAAAGTTATGCCCGAATGATCGGTGGGCAAAGGTAGCGCAGGAAGAGGAGCCCCCTGAAGATATGAGAAGGTCCAGAGTGATTCGACGATGTACCAAAACCACAGTCGATGCCATCGAAAGATCGTATTTTCTCCAGCAATGCAGCATCGTGAAAGAAAAGCACTGCAAAACGCATTTGTAAAGTGCATCCGTAAACATTGTTATAACAAGGATATATCTCGCATGAAGCGTATATAGTATTTTTCGCAATGTTCACGTCTTGGCACATATAAATGCTTTTCGATTCTTACTGATAATATGTATGTCTCGTAGCAAATTATTGCGAAAACGTAAAACGTTCTAATCTGGATCAATAATTGTGGAGAAACTCTTAATTCTTTCTTTTTACTTCATACTATTACCCATTGCTTTTCTCAGTGCCACAATAATATTTGGGACAATCCATTTCGGAGTTGCAATTTGTATCCGTGTTGGGACACGAACAATAAAAGACATAATACATAAAAATTATTAATGTATAATTCAAGAATGTCCTAAAATGTCTTAAATTAAAAATCCTTCATTATTCTTAAATTAAACATCGTTCGAACGATCAATGTAATAAAATGATTAACAAATCATTCGTTAAAAGCAATGCAAATGTTATCTCTTATAATGTTATTTCTTACAATATACGCTTTCGGTTTTGGGCACGGATCGTTCACGCTATTTTCCTATGATTATTATAAAAATATTTTATACAAAATCCAAAATAATTAAAATGGCATGTAATAAAAATGAGATGTGATTTGGATATAAATTATGCTTAATATACTATAATTGAATGTATTAATAATATTCATCTCGATATTAAAACCAAGAGTTCTATAAAAATGGCACTTAAATGGCATACATAATCAAATTCTAGCCGTAAAAAACACTTGAAGAATAGTAAAATAAATACATGCTGATAACTTCGTTAAGTAGGGTATCTTCACGGCCATGTTTTCCTATTTTCTCTGAGATAGTGGTATTGATGTTAAAAATGAGAGTATTTTTAACGAAGCGGTATTATAAGAAATATTCATGATTATTTATACGTTCCTTGCAGCTTCTTTTTATACAGATGTATAAATGATACATATTGCGTATCATATACATTTTATCTTTCTTTAGTTTTACAAAAGCAAATTTTGGAAGAAATAATATATTCAAAGTTTTCATTTTCTTCATTTCCTTGATTATTAAGTTGTCAAAAAGAAACTGCAAGCATCGGAATGTACTTTTCTTATCACACCGCGAATCAGTTATAAATGATGTTCTCGCGAGCGTGAACGAACCGCTAGCATCTTCAATTCACATTCTGAACGCTCGTAAATAATAGTTTCTATTTACAATATTGCCAACGTCTAATGATCAATATAAAGGCGGCATAATCCATGTCCTAAATTGACAAAGAGTTAAATTATTCTGTTGAAAGAAGATAAGTTTTAAAAATGTCAAGTTCTTAATCAATAATTTGCCTGATTCTGATTAATATATAATCAAAAAGTATATTTAAGTATTATCTAACTCGGAAATATGCTGCCTTTATTTTCATCTCTAGTCAATGACTTCGTTTTTTCGCCAACTCGAGTTCTCTTCCTAGCTATTGCGCGTTATAACATAAACCGTGTCGGTAGTGTATACACAGAAGTGGGCAATTTAACATGAGTCAGCAGCGAAGTTCGATCGTTAATAAAACTTCGATCGTACTACACATTATATATCTCGAAAGAGGAACCATATTCCTTTGTTTTTTCTTTTCGCTATTTATAAAAATAATTTGAAGCCGCCTTGAGGGGGTAGATGCCTCTTAAAAACTACTTGTCCTATGCTTGGGATGAGCACATATGGAAATTCTTCCCTTATTAATTGTATATTGAAGTACTGCAAAAAAAATTATAGGTATTCCTGTGTCGTTTTTGTTACAGCATCAAAACATATGTACATATCCTTAAATTAATAGATAGACGCTCTATAGGCCAAATTCAAATTATAAAAAAATTATACAAATGTGTTAATTAATATATAAATATTAAATAATGAACAAAATATTTTTTTAAACTAGAATTGAGAGTGTTCCTTATCTCTCCTCTTCTTTTCTTTCTTCTAATATAACGTACCACATAATATCCACAATTTTTTGCACATTCCTACAACTTATAAGAGCCGAAAAAAATCCTATATAGGTATGTAAGTCATGTTCATAAACTTGTGTTTTATTGATTTTAAGATGTATCTACCCCTTAACACAGAATGATACCGCCACTGAGCCGCTGCTACTGCGGCTGTGGTGGATTGTGCTGAAGGGAAGGTTGTGGGCCCTAAAACAAACAAGTATATTTTATTTATACATCCCAAAATAATTGCACTTGCATGAATTTAACTTTGACAGAATCTTACAGGTAATGCGGGAAAGGGCGGTTGAGAGTGCGCGTGTGGATGAGAATGCGGATGTGCTATGTGCGCTGCAAGATGGCCTGGTAATTTCGGACCATCCTCGGCTTTCTCCTCTTCTCTTCTTTTTAAACACGCAGCCTTCGGATTAAGATTCCGCTCTAAACAAAAAAGGAATAGATTGAACATACGAATATTTATACAGATTGATATGATACATTTGATCAAAATGCATATTGGTATATGTACCTCTGACTTGTTGTTCGAGTGTCATTATAACTTCAACAGCCATGTTGAGAATACCGAGCTTCGTTTGAGGTTTGTCCGTCTTTAGGTGTGTCATACACATTCTGCCAAGTTCCTTTAGAGCCTCATTGATATCTCTGATACGTATCCTATGATAAAAAATAAAATTTAAACATATTAGTTACTAAAATGCGAGAGTATCTTTTTTAAGTTTCAATGTTAAAGAGAAAGGAATAAGTTCTTCACTATTCATTACACATAATATTTTGTAATATTACGTTTTTTACATCTACTTACACATTCATCACATTAAACAATATTTTTCTTGTATATGTTTACAATAGAAAAAATTAATACAGCAGAGAAAATTATGAGAAATGTAATTGTACAATATCATATACTATCGCTCAAAAATTACAATTCCCTTTTTAAAAACCTCGTAATATCATGCAAAAAATAAAATATAAATATACTTTATATGCATTATGTTTCTCAATTTATTGTATATTATATATTTTCATTAAAAAAAAACTAGAAAAATTAATTTATTTTTTTCTCAAATTATTTATTTCTTCACGTTTAATCTCCTTAAGTTTCCATAATAGAAGTCAAAATCTTGGCACTTTGTCAACAAGTTCTTCAAATATCTTAATCAAAGACTTATGTTTAATTTGGTGTTTAGTTTCTGCAAGAATAGATATTTATTTCTATTCTCTTAGTCAATATAATCTTAACATTCATCGATATCTAACGCATTAAACTGATATTTCTTTATATACCGATATATAATAGGTACATATTATATAATATTTATTTGAGAAAATTTATAATTTTCGTTTATAAATATTTGTCGGCAATTCACGATGTTATTGAATCCGATAATAAGAAAGTATATCAAATTAATTTCATATTTTTTGTAAATGAAAAATATAAATTGTTAGCTAAACATAAAACGTATTTTTGAGCGGTAGTCTATATCTTACAATTTTTTATTAATACAAATGCAATTGTGTAAGCATGTGATAGGAGTAAATTTTTCATGCACAGATATGTATCAGAACATGCCGATTTTGTAAAATATTATATATGGGGAAACATGTCATTTATTTTCATAATTATCGAGAAATGCTTTTAATATTCTCTTACATTGTTATGTCACATATACATAGAATACGGGCCGCCGTTACTACTGATCAGAATTGTCATATCACCGTAGATTAAATTTAATATTTTTTATGTCCGCTGCGTATATCATTGATCTTACCTTTCCCTAGCATTATTTGCTTGCCGCCTCTCTTTCTCCCTTTGTGCCTTCATGTCGGGATCATCATCCTCGTCCTCAGCGCTCGAACAACAGTTGCGCAATAACAATACGCGATTAATCACCTGGCTTACGTCACAACTTACTCTAGCCTATATCGCTTAAATTACCTAACGGCAATCGAATTACTAACGTAAGCGACACGCGCGCGATACAGTCGCAAGTTACAAGAAAATGGCTTTTGACTTGCTGGAGTCTAATCACCTAATTGTTGTTCGAGCAAATTTCGTATAAATACATACATGTCTTATTGCAATAGACAAGCGATGTAATAATGAACACACGCAGATGGTTTCATAATTTTGAAATCGTGGATAATAAGTAGGTTACGAATTTAAAGGCCCGTATTCTTTGTACACAGAACAAACAATCGATGGCGAATAATCACGTCAAAGAACAGTGATCTTTTGGTTCGAAAAATGTAGATCTTCTATTTTGACGTTGACCTAGAAAATTAGAGAATGCAGATGACATCTATATAATTGTTTATAATTTCTTTTCCAAAACGATATAATTTGGAAAGATATAATTCAAAAACAATCACAAAATAAAATAAGAAAACAATACGGATTAAAAAAAATTATAATTAACATCGAAATATTTGGTTATGCATAATTGAAAGATCGATATCGATCGATTTTTATTTTGAGAATAATATGACAATCCCTTATAAAAATTTATGTAACACGTGTATAGTCAACACAGTGAGATTTATCAGTTTACAAATAATACGACATGTTCTTTCATTTGTACAAAGGTAGTAAAAAAATGCGCTTGTAAGGATAAAAAAGAGAAAAGTTACACAACTGAGCAATTTGATGCAACGTTCAGTGATGCAGAATAAGTGCGGAATGTTCTAAACAAAGTGGCATGCCTAGGGACCGAATCGCAGCTGAATTAAAATGAGACTGATTTGCAGGTACGCACGAGAGAGCTGTTAACATTCCATCTTGTCTCATCTCATTTATGTCCTCTTAACCAGAAACATTTTAATTATCACGCCTGAATACGGGCCTTATACAGTGCAACGAATGTAAGGATTACGGGACTTGTATTCATGTTGTAACAAAGTCGTAAACATGCCGCGCATTTTTCCCCTGATCGTTCATGAATTAATTGTCTTACGATTTATTGCTCGTCACAAATAGCACCTCGTTTTTAGGCATGCATACGACTAGGTGGCTAGGAAATTTCTCCGGGAAGATGTACAGAGATTCTTTTTACACAGGTTACACTTGACGATGAGAATATACATACGCATATTATCCGCATCGTAAGCGACGTGTTTATTATCGGGTCTATGGGAGCGGAGAACGGGACGGAAGGAATTGTTTGTATCAAGATGCAACGAAGTGCGTACTGCGTGTGTTCACTAACCTTTCACGCACGTTGTTGGCCTGGCGACGTTCTTTCTCGCGCACCGCTTTGGTGCCAGGATCGTCACAGTCTTCATCGGCGCTCGAACAACGGTTGTTCAAAGACACAGCAAGTTAGTTTAACAATAAATTTTCAAAGATCGAAGCGCATCTCCAATTAATCATTAATTCGTTTAATTTTCAAATAAATTCTCAAATTAATACAACAAATGTGTTTTATTTTTTTTTTTTTCCAATATTTATACTCGGAGCAAAACGACGGACGTTAATACGTGTATATCGATTGCAACTTTCTTTATTTTGATCATCGCTTATATCTTTTTTATCGTTCGACTTTAGAATCCACTGAGAGATTCATTTAGAAATTTATCTCGAAAAATTCTTCAGATACTTACTATCTACGCGATCGTTTCGTTCCTTTTCCTTGCGACGTCGAGTTAACCGTAGCAGCCCCGATTACACCGGCCGCTGCGAGTTCACTGCTTGATGGCTTCGTCTCGCCGCCGCTACTGTCGGGCGGATCTTTCCTTTTTTCTAAGGGGATGTATTCTGCTCATTATTAATACTGTTGCATAAATTTTCCACGACAATTTCATTGTTACATACAATTTGCAAGAGAGAAGACATCAGGTAGAATTTATATCAGTGTATGTTTTTCTTTTCTTCATAATTCTAAAGGTATAATTGGCAAAACGTATCTCCTCAAGGAGTTTCAAAGCAGACTATGACAGCAGCCTCATTCGAGCATTATCGCCAGATTATCTGATGCAACAACGAAAAAATGGCACGGACTTACCCGGAAATGGAGAAAGAATAAATGCGACCAACCTTCGCCGAAGATGGTGATCACGATCTTCGATTATCCCGGAGCTTTAAGCAAGGAGGCTTAGTCACGAAACCGTGAAAAGCGTCCAATTAGGAGCAGGAAGCGCGCTTTATGGGATTTCGCTCAACTCTGATTCAGCAGACCTTAAATGTTTTTTCTCTCTTTCACCTAATGGTTCTCGCGAGAATATTAACTCACGTATGCCGCAAATGTATCTTTTTAAAAGTCTTCGCGAGACAATCTTTGCGGGCAGATAAATCAGACGCATAGTTGTGTGCGAACACTTGCAACTACAAATGAAACGTTTATGGTGCAACTATCTGCGCAATTGAATATATTTATTTCCTTAAAAAGGATTTGAGCTATTTAGTACTCAGTACACTGTTTTTCACGGAAGTTATCGCAGAGGTTTCGTGAATTTCCATCTATTTCTACAGTACAAAGCGCGCAAACAGTTTCCAAACCCGCAAGAGTGTTTTGCATTCCTTCGCCAAACTAACATAGGTAGGATCTCCTAATCCGTAGTAAAAGGATACTAAATGTTCTCCATTGGTATAATGATTCTAAGAGGGAGGCCGAAAGGGACGGACGCAACGAGGCGGAAAGAGAAACGAAGAGTGAGATAACCGAATGTACTCGCGGGAATAATGCAGGCACGACCACCGGACAGCAAAGACTTCGCGTGATTTATCTAATATTTCCTTATTCGGCCGCGAGTCCGTTGTGTGGAACACCTGGGAGCTCCTTCCCTTTTCCCTCTCCTTCGCGGGAATTCATGGGAAAAGTGACTGCTCAATGATGCGACGATGCAAGAATAAAACGGCGTGAGTGATCAGAGTAACGCGTAATTACGATTTTTATTCTTCTTGAAAAATGAAAAAATCACCGAATGTTTTTAAGCGAGAATAAATCGAGAAAAGACTACTTATCAAGAGTTTGTTATAGGAATCGCAGTTGTGATTTCTTCTATGTTGCAAATTACATTACGATTCATCCTGTACACCACTTCGGGTTCAACTTACTGGCATTCGTCACAGGTAACCTTTCGATCTTGATGGAACCATCTGTGTCGGGCGTAGGCGTAAGACCGGGATAGGAACCCTGAGGTTGCGTCACCGTTACCGCAGGATGTGGACTTGCCTGAAAGAGAAAATAATAATATTGTATCGCGATATAAATGAAAGGATAGGAGTAATCCATCACGATTGTAATTGTCTTGGTATTTTTTTATTTTCTGCTAATTAGCTTAAGTTTCTTACCAAATGTTCTAACTGCGGGGGTGATGTATGCGAGTATATCCCGCCGTGTGGACCAACTGGACCAAGATGAAGGGCTACTTGACTTTCGGCGTGATTCCTCAGTACGTTTATGGCATCGTCTAACCGCTCCTCCATTCGTGCCCCCTGTACCAACAGAATACCGAAAATGCGACTCGATTACGCGCCGATAGCTCGAAATTGTCTATACTGCTTCATTATTATTCGAGAAATTCTATAGGAAGACGTATCACTGACGTTTTTTTTATTTTCTTTAGATTCTTATAATTTATGCTAAAAAAGTTTCAAAGAGAGAAAATTAATATTGAATTCTTCTAAGTATTTCGCTTCTATTTCCACGATAGATAGTTCGAAAAAGCATCTTGGAAGAAAGATAGAATTATAAAAGTATTATGTAAAAAAAAAATTTGATCGATTAAATTAATTAAAGAGTTTAATGCTGACTGATTATCGAAAATTTTGTTAATGGAAAAGTACAAGCTATGATTATACATTGTGCACAATGTGAGAACCTTATCACAATATATAATCAAAATTAATTGAAAGCATAATCAGCAAAAAGTGCAATGGACATTTCGTAGCATTTGTCGTGGTGTAAACATGCGTGAAGAATATAGAAAAAAAAAAGGATAGAATGAGAAGAGGGTAGGTTGTAAAAAAAAAAACTTAAATTCGGCGATCCTCACCTCGGCGTGGTCGCGAAGGAAGCCGATGGCATCGTCTAGCCTCTGCTGTTCAGGCGCCGGCTTCACACACAACACCAACGCAACAACAAAACCAAAAAAAAAAAGAGAAACAACCAAGTCAACACAACGTTCACAACAAACAGGGCGGAATGAATAAAAGTGTGTCGTCAAATGAACGGGAGGGAGCATAAACTTAATAATTTGTACGCAAATGGGGGGGGGCGGGGGGAGGATATAAATAAATAGTCGCTCATAAGGAAAGCACACAAACGGTGATTTCTCGGTGCAAACGCGGTCATGCACTTTGTGCAACTTCGGTGCTGCGTGATTATGTGCGAATATAGCGACTGTAATCTCTCGTAATAAAAAATAAACATTTGACACAAACAACAGCAAATCCATTTTTTTCCATATTTCCTCTTGTATACCGCTCCTTCTCTCGTTGTTCGTAACAATCCTCCCTCCTCCCAAAAAATATAAAAATTGCGCGAATGATAATTGATAATATCGTCGATATGTATTATGTAGTGTAGATGTAGCGAAATATCATTGGAAAAACGTAACTCTTGTGCTCCAGCGCTTGTAAAGGTGAAAAATTGTCCCGTGCATGTTTCTGAAGCGGCCAAAATTAGACACGCATTTAAGAAACCTTTCAACGATGTTTGATCTATTATATATCTTCATATATATATATATCACAAAATAATAAATTCTAAAATCATTTGAAAATGGACAACGTTGGAAAGGTCCTGCAGCTTATGCCGGGTCAATCGTAATTAGTAATCGTACAAATACGAGATACATACCATGTGAATACCACGATTGGGATCCGCCGTAAAATGCGGAGATACTGGTGCGGCTCCAGGTGCCCAACCTGGTGCCGAACCGGTTAAAGGTGGTGGCGAACTGACGGGCGTAGATGGATTACTGCTATAACTGGATACTGATTGGTCCGTAGGATAAATCTGTGAAACATGCGATAACGACGCAATCGTAACATAATATTACAAAGTATACGATCGTCCGAATCATTCGCGAAGTAACAATGTCGTGTCGTAAAGTAAGATATATCTGAATGTCGCGGCAAATGTTACATTAAATAACAGCAAAAACATCTGTATAGATGTCAAATCGATTACTTAGATCGTCCAAGCATTGTCTCGGTTAACGAATAATATCCATTATTTCATAACGTTTCATCTCTATTAATTATCTTTAACTGTATTAGCGTACCAAAAAGAGATATGACTTGACGACGGACACATACTCGAGTACTCACGACGGATGCGAGGGTCTTGCCGAGGGTGTCGTCCGTGGTGGATTGCTGGTTCGTCGTGGGCGCAGTGTTGGGCGCGGAAGGCGCGGTCGTCGGTGCACCAGGACTATGGCTATATTGCAACGATGCCGGCGACGGCGCCCCTGTGCCGCTGTTTGCCGCGACCGCGGCACTACCCCGGAATGTCGACATTGGCGGCAGGGAAGCCGCACTGGTCACCGCCGAGCCCAGAATCGGCGCTGCAGATTCACCATTCGGCGACATCGCTGAGTATGCCTGAAACCGCCAAGCGCAAATGGTTCGACGCTCGGTTCTTGTGGTAACCATCTCGAGGGCGAAGTCGTGGGAATACGCGATCTTCAACGTTAATTATCGAGCTTGCGTTCAGTATATCGGAATCTCAGAATCTGTTCCCGGAGGTTCTCTGTTGTAAGAGGAATTCTATACGTGCGCAGGAACGTCGTCCGATTTGTGAAACGGAAAGCATAGTGACACCGATAATCATTATGCTCTATTTGACGCTCTATTTCAATCTTTATCTTCGTGGTGTATTTTGTCGTATAGGAGGTACGTACTTTGGGATGTTCACGATTTCAGAAGGGATGTCTTCTTCGAGTGCGTTCGTGCACGCGCGAAACGTCGGATTAATTTATTCTGTGTAGCTGCGATAAAGGTCTCCATTACAAGAATTCCGAGTAATTTCCGGGAGCCGCGTGGATCTCACGATATGTACGATTGCTTTAAGCGCGTCTTTCTGGTTATAATGGATCACCTCGACCAGCTTTGATATCGGATACGCCGAGCGTGGGATAGCGCTCTCTCGCACCTACTGAAACCGCTCGTAAAAGTCTAATTTTAAGCCACCGTCGACGGTCTATGGAGCGTAGTGTATTTATCAACAAATTAGAGTGGCCGAGAAACGCCTACGGAGACGTACGCGCCGCATGTAAAAACGTCGTCTCTAATAAACGCTTCTATGAAAAAGCATAGCGATGGATATCGCGGCGAGACCGAGAGATTTCGGTGGATGTTGACGGATAAACCAGAAAAATCTAGAGACATCCAGTCAAATCTCTTGTTCGATGGACCCGCGCGGACAGCGTTCTCAGAAGACGGGTCATTGAACTGGAAAATCGTAAATGTTTAATCTTTAATAACCAAAAGAAATTTTACTTTGTGACGCTTGACTCCGTCCTTCTTAGACGCGTTTGCCTTAAATCGTACTACATCTTTACGACATTTCTTGTTGTATCACGTAGACCAAAAGGCCTCACTGTTAGCTACGCGAACGACAATAAAATGGTTTGTCTTACAATCGTTAAAAGTTGGACTTTATGATCCGAGAGCGCCGGAAGTTTATTCCAATCTACTGTATATACATAAATATGTATATAATAGGATGTTATTTTAATAAAAATAAAACTAACGTTGGCGATCTCGCCATTTATTAGCTATCGGCGATTACCGATCGAAGGCATCACGACCACGACGTCATACGCCGGTAGCAGAAGCCTACTCTCGTTGTCTCAAAGAGAGAGGCTGCCGAGAGACGGGTACGAGGTGCCACGAAGAGGAGGATTTCGTGGTAACCATGAACGGCGTAAATCAAACGAAGGCTGCACTTGACTAGAAACACGGAGTAGCGGGAGGGTCGGGGCTATATATAGACGCCAGTGAGTCATTTGACGTTACTCCGGGTACGTGGAGCACTGTCAACAGTGTCTCTCAACCATAGCGAGACGATGAAGAGAGAACGCGACTCTCTTCGAGCGCACGCGACAATCAACCGGGTGGTCCGAAATAAGACAGTCAGAAGAGACCACCAGCTGGCCCGTTGGATCACGAAGGTTGACGAAGAGGATTAGAGCCGACGCCGGTTGGTCGAAGAGTAATGGCCGACTAAGAAGCGACACGCGGCTCGTCCTCGAGACGACCCCCGGTGCATCGTGTGAATTCATGAATCGCCGAGACTGTCGGCGAGATTTAGGAATTTAGGAATTTATCACGTTCCGCGGAAAAGCCATTAAACGATACGATAAATCTCTAAAAAGTTCGTATATTTGTAGATGTTCTCTCGATTGAGAATCGTCGAGAACGTCGAGAATCCCGCATTTCTCGGAATTTCGTCCAAGAAGAGTGCATTTCGAGCAGGCATCCGTCCGCTTCGACGTACAACGACGTCGATGGGATAAAAGTTGGCGAATTAACGGAATTCCCGGCCGAGCTGAATTCAGCGACCGCAACTGATCGCGATATACGAGAGCTCGTGGTGAAATTACGGCGTTCGAGTTCTCCAGTTCGAAGAATCGATCTTTCGTCGTCGAATTCAATTTTTATACGTCGATTACGCAATGGAGGTTTCGTCGGACCTCGTTGACTTTCGGGGCAAAGAGAGAGAGAGAAAGAGAGAGCTGCTCGGGGAGGCACATCGATCTTCCGTAGCACCGAGATTAGGTCGCCCGCTTAGGTTTTAATCTGTCGACTTCCTCGTCGAACTCACGTGTTCGTCGACAGAGAGTATGGAAGAAGGAATATCCCCGTGTCTATTACGAAGTTCCAGAGACGTCGTTTTCGCGACGGCGGCTACGTAGGAACTAGCAGCCGAGTCACGCGTGATTGATCGTTTTCTTCGGATTCGGCCGCGGCAAGGGGATAGAAATGAGAGAATGGGAGAGAAATCACTTACCATGGGGTCGTGGGGTAGGTGCATGGGATAGGCTGGCTGCGCCAGGTGAGAGGGTGCATATCCACTGTATGGGGGCTGGACACCACCGCCGCTACCCGTCCATGGGTCACCGGGACCGGTTCCTGTAGTATTACCATCTGCAACAAGAGAGAGGCGCGGTTTCGATCAATCATGTGTCATCCGATTATTATTCGTATATATTCGAGATCTAAATAATGAATTCGGAGCAACCGCGTTTGAAAAAGGGAGATTTCAGAATATCTCAATAATATTGACGCGATAATACAGATTATGGAGTATAAATAAGAATTTTTTGCGCGACGCATTATTAGATACCTTCGGAACGTGCTTCCTTTTGACACGACATCCACTCGTCGCGTGTTCGTAAAAATTCTTTCTCGTTCGATGTAATTGAAGTATCGCAATGTAAAGTATAGAATCTCGTCGACTACCCGAGCACTTTCTACGTCATTGGAGCGGGAAATAATAAATAATACGGCACGTGGCGTTCAGCGAGCGGAGAATGTCGCGCACGTGCCCAGATAATGGGCGTCCAAATCGAGTTAAAATGCATCCTCGCGGCGTTTAATTGAATTTTCCACTCGTCAGAGGCGCCTTGCACTTCATAATATGTTTGTATACAATTTTGGTCGATTAACACAACGACGACGTTCCGCTGCGAACAAGCGCCGCGCCAAACTTCCTAATCAAGCGGCGATGTCATTCCTTCCGCAGTAATTATTTCGAGAACGAGTCCGCGGTATGATACAACTTCTCTGGACTTTCGCCAAGTTGAAATTTCGCGCTTTCTAACGTCTCACTCGGTTCCCTGGGCGTCGTTTGCGGTGGAGCCGCACACACACACCCGGTATAAGGGCCAATAGACGCGGTACCCGGCGCGGACCATTATTTCAGTTGAAAACAACAGCAATAAGCTTCGGGAACGTATTTCTTGATACTTTTGCTTGATATAATTCCCGTACCGGGCGCTCCTCGACGAGAAAACGGAAACTAAGCCAAACTACTCGGGCGTTCCTACCAACTACCGGTGTTCGATGTCTGATAAAACTTTTTCGCCCCCTCGCCGTGGCCTCCCATTTATAAGCCATTCCGGTCAGCTACCGGGTGCCACGAGCGCCGACACGTATTTCGAAAGCGTACTTAAACTGCTACTTTTCTCATCTGATCCATAATAACGAGCCCTGTGGTGAAAACTTCGTCGATTTCATAGATTTATCATCGTGAAAAGATCATCGAAAATATTTGCATATTTAAGCAAAATTCTTTTACGGATCATTTGTTCCATTAACGTGGCCTTTTTTATGACTACCTGCGCGCTCTGTATTTTTTTACACGTAATTTAAGGTTTAATCGAATAAACTCCTCATTATTATTTTTGCTTGAAATGTTCATTGCCTCGGCAATAGTGAAACTTAAAAAGCATAGTTTATTTGTTATTGTAAATTCTGATAGATAAATTTAAATTTGTAAAAAAAAGAAAAATACAATCCAACTTCTGTGATAGTAAACATTTTTTGTGAAAACTTTCATAAGTAACTTTATACAGTCAAAAAAAAAAAAAAAAAAAAATAAAAATCTAAAAAAAAATTGAAGTTTGAAATTCAAACAGACAAAGGGTGAAAATTTCATATTGTTGACCGGAGAGTTAAGTTTTTTTGTGTGTGTACAATTTCCAACGATTTCCTACTGCACGAGTCTGAAGAGCTGCGACGAATATCCGCGAAGCATGAGCGTGACGGTGTACATCGCACCTGTCTTAATGACGATAATTTTTCAAAGATCCGTTATAATCTAAAATAAACCGTAAAACGATTACAGCTCTATAAAAATCAACTAATGGAGCAAGTCGTACGATATAATAATTGTTCCGACAACGCGAACGTCCCGCGCGTAAATCAATTTTAAAGCAACAAATCGGTATTACGGACAGTATGGCGTAAAAGAAGTAACATCAAAGAGGAGCGTCTTTTCCGAGCGACGAAAAATTACTGAAATAGCGACACTAAGACGCCAGCGCTTCGATAAATGTTCATTGCGACAACAAAGTAACATTCCCAGTGGCCGGTAGCGAGGCAAGCGATGGAGAATTGCTTTTATTGGCAATATCTCGTCGACGAAGTTTTCCGTGGAATTTTTTTTCGACGGCAGTGTGTCGGATATATCCGCAAAATCCAGCGACGAACTTCGATGCCCCGCCACGCCGCTTGAACAAATAACGAGATTGTTATTGTTTTTACGCGCGACAGGCAGAGCGGCAAATTTTACGAGCGAACGTTAAACAGTTGAATATTAGTGCGCTCGTAAAATTCCTTTTATCGTCCATTCGGATCGTTATGCGATTTCCAAATGATATATACGTACGTGTACGTACACATACCCGCGCCTATGCCGATGGCTGCTGATTCGCAGATAACCATCGATCTATCGAACCCACCCGGAGGTTCGCACTATCTCGTTTAATTACATCCATGTCCGCTGATATCGATTATTAACAGATATAAGTCAGTAATCTATTTCATAACTACTTTCGTGAAATTAGTAACGATAACGAGTCTGTTACCACGCGCTCTAATTTCGTTCTTAATCTACGTGATGTCTGTTTGCCCGGAGATCTCAAGGCTGCAATGATTCATTCAACAAAATTCCATTTTATTCTTATCGGAGTCAGTAAAACTGAAGTATAGATCGTTCCTAAAAAAAAAATCAAGTTTTTCAAAAAAGAGAAATACTTTTTAACTTAACAGAAAATTATTGATTAATTAAATATTAGCGTATTGGCAAAAAATATATTCTTAAAAATATAATCATATTATGTCACTTTTGTTTTACAACCCTTAAAAAACTACCCTTTTTTAATTATGACGATTCTACAAAATATATAATAACAAATCTGGAATTATTAATAATTAATTGAAAATTATATAAAATATCACAGTTTACATTTAAATGTTAAAATCTTATTCTTAGGAATCATACAAATGCTTTTTTGGCGGATGGAATGTGCAGTTAACTCATCAGTCTACTTTTGATGATTAACAGAATAATTTTTATCTAACTTATTCATAATAATAATAAAAAAAAAGAATTACATTTTGTTGTCACTTTTGAAATAAAGGAACAAGATATATTTTAATTTTTTTATTTTAATTAATAACTCTCGGTTTTTTTTTACTTACCGATGTAATAGGAATCCGTGTAAAGGGCACTCTTCGGCGACGTGTATCTCGGCGAGTCCTGTCCGAATTCATCCGAGCCATACTGCAACAGAAAAAGTAAACATTCATAATTAAGAGTTCATTATTAAACGCACAAAGCTTAAAAAACGGGGAAATCCTATGATTTGTTCGAACGAGTGACTCGCGAATCAATATGCTGCAACGGAAATGCCGCGCATATAATTTTCTCGTCGCGCTGTTTTACGAGCCGGCGAAACTTTTCATTGACTTCGTCGGCGTTCAGCATTTCTGGTGTAATATGAAAAATTACGTTGCAACGACATGCGGACTCCACCATCGGCTATCAGGCAAACACCAGCGCGGTGTTGCGTCTTCGTTTCTTGCGACATCTTTGTACATTGTATTGTAGTACATCTCTTCATCGATCTTACGATAGACCCGGTCTATTACGACACCAAGCAACGTCGTGGCTCGTAGCGAGAACAGTCATTAATTCAGCGACATAGACGCGAAAGAGGAACGTGCGCACGCTTCTAGAGAGAAAATCGGTATGATGGAGTCATTAAATGGTTACACACATACATACGTATATACATATACGTCCTTGCGCAACGGGGACATCAATAAAAATCTAAGATTAGGTCGTCCTCCTCGATCTAATTAATACCATCAATCTTCACAGGGACGAGTAGAAGATCTGATTTAACGACATTCGCCGCGCTGCGTCGTGATAATTTTATTCTTCATAAAAAAAAATCGTTAAACTGAGACTTTATGTGTTAAAAGTGCCAATGTTGATAACGCGTTGTCTCATATCAAAGCGACACTTATTGTTAGATTTACTCGGTGGATATACAATGCTCCAATTTTTTTAGAACGTGAGGAAGGTCAGAAAGCACGGCATTCATGAAATAATTATTAGAAGTTGAGCTTGGAGGGCTCAAAATATAGAACTATGTTGAATGTAAGACAAAATGCTGATGATAATGCGGAAGCAGTTTCATGTTAAAAACACTGCAATTCAAGTGTAATTAGTTTTTCGTAAAAATAACACACTATATATACTGCATATAAATATGGATTTATACACCTAAACATGTAGTATAGTATCATTTTTATATAAAGTACTAAATAATGTACATATATCGAAGTCACGTTTTGCACACACTTGGATTTGCAGTGAAGTCTTCGATTGTCTAATCCGATATCGCACTCCAATCATTTAAATGAAGGATAAAGCGCGCTATCGAGCAAACGGTGTTACCCAATATAACTTGATTACTCATCCATTATAGACGTCTTTTCAAGAGACTACATAGAACGGGAAATGTTCTCCTCTTCGAGAAGAGTCGCGGACCGAAGACGGATTATGCGAACTGCGAGTTACATACAGAACACATTCGTGCTCTCGGCTCCAAGTTATAGATTTATGGTTGGCGCTCCTTTCCCTTCCATGTCCCTTTCCTTAAACCAAGATAAATACGAAGGCTTCGGGGTGGAAAAAAGACAATGTATAAGTGGATGATGCACAGAGAGTGCACGCGACAGGAACGGAGATCTATCGATCGTTTCTGGTTATACCAAAGAAGATACGGATACAATCGAGAGACTTTGCGTAGTCCGCATTTTCGATAAATTTACCATTTTATAGCTGCCGTAGTCCGTGTGGCAGACAAACATGTTGACGGTCGGAGACGTGTGAGGGTTGATTCGAACGATACACCGATTCCGTCCTAGCACACGAGTCACGTCATACAGAACGACGACACATCACCACCACAAAGGTATACGTAGATTTAGTGACGAGCGGAGAAGCTGCCGCGCGAACGAGAGGAAGACGAAGTGGAAAAGGAGAGCTGGGCCAAGTAAAAGAGAAACGAGAGGGTGGCAGCAATCGCGCGCTATAACAACCCCTCGTCCCAATTTCTCTACTCTTTCTCTGTCACTTCTCTCTCTCTCTCTCTCGTTCTCTCTCGTCGTGATATATGTTAAAATATTCCACGGCACTGCTGCCTTATCCGCTTGCACCGCGCCGAAAACTTTCGCGCACGATGCCACGGTCTTCTTTCACCCTCCCGTTTCGCTCTCTTCCTCCCTCTCGTCCCGCTTTGCCAACACGTCGAAAAGTGCCGCGCGCGCTCCGCTTCGCGCGGGGTGAGAACGGCGGTAGAATAAACTTCGGCTGCTAACGCGAGGACTATGGGTCGCCAGGCCGAAATTTAACGCCTTCTCTGGGCCATGAAAGAATCGTACAACTTTGCCGACGTCGGAACTTCGCAACTACGTTTATGCGCGGAGTGCCGCGCGGGGACTCCCACGATAGATCGATAGTCGTGAAACCACGTGCGAATTCAAACTGGCAACGACCAGACTCGATTCGATTTGACTCGACTCGACGTGAAACAATACCGAGCGACGCGGCCGACTACGCGCGACTGTCGGCTGCGGTATCGCGCGTTCACCAACGTCGATCGAGAGCGCGTGGTCGAGGTGGGAGCGACGCGCGCGACCCAATCGTCGTGGAGCTCGCATGGAAGCGCGGTTCCGCGAAAGAAACGAAGCGGAGGGATCCTCTCTCCATCAAAGCGATATCTCCGAGTCGTGCTGCCACAAAAAAGCTCATACGATAAGCTCGCTGTAGAGATTCTCGAGTAAGAGATTGAACATCGTTTGGACTATTTCTGGATTGGTCCGCCATATTTTTCAGGACCTGCTTAAGATAGAACGAGATAGATGCACAAAATAGAATAAGCGTGAATATATTTTTTCTTATGTATAATCTATCGCATTCTGTCTTAAGCACAGGTCTTGAAAAATCAATCTCTTAAACGATGTGTCTTAAGCGATTTCTTTAAATGAAATCTTAAGGCACTAAAACTTTTAGTCTTGAGTTATAAGAAATTGACCATAGTCGATTGTTCTCCTCTTCGGCTGCAATTGGTCAATTTCTTACGGATTAAGAGACTTAAATTTAAGTTTACATTTTAAAATCTCATTGTAGACGCCACTTGAAGACCTCTGGTTTGAATCGCAAACGACTCTTGAACGCGCGTTTTACAAGAAGAGTGCGTCTCCGTTTATCATGGGGCATTCAACTGGGAGTTGATTAACTCGAGAAGGTACTAACGATTGATGATCAATCTATCGTGGATTTTCTACAATAAGCCATTACCTCTGTGCCTTAAGTTTTAAGTCGTATGAAATTGACCGATCACAGTCGAATATGAGAAGAATAATCGACTACGATTGATCACAATTTCTTACGATTTAAAATTTAAAGCTTAGGTAATGACTCATTGTAGAAAGCTCCATAACGCTCACGGATTCCGATCGTAACGCGAACAGAAAACATGTTCGCTCGCATCTGTGTTGTTCTTCTTTGTGTTGATACACTACAGTATGGAATAGAGATAGAGGAGGAACGGATGCTATCGCTGACATACGCTTGACAAATGAAATCGTTTTCGAGAGTACAACGCTGGAACCGGAGTATCTGGGAGAGATAGAGGAATAATCACGGCCCGATAAAAATATCGAGTTTTATCGGCGAAACCGGTCGATAATGACCTTACAAATAAGAACATCTCTCCGACTGGGAAAGGGAGGTTGAAACTGGTACTAATCGGATGATAAGCTGCGCTATACGGACCCTGGTCCTATTAATTTAAATGAATTGCTTTGACACCCACGGTCAAACACGGAACTTTGACAACGACCGATCTCGTACATCATGTTCCTCTCTTTCAATCGTCGCTTTTCTGCTTATTCTTTATAGTCGTGACCAATGAGATGTACACAATAGGAACTAAATGAACTTAAACAACGTTCAAAAATTAATCAATATACTTGGAACAAAGATAATAGAAATAATTTGTTAATAAAAAAATTTAAGTTTAATATTTTTTAATATGGACAGAGCAAGTAATCATTCATCTATTTATTACAGATTAGTATTTAAATTTACTTGAATTTTCTCAGTTAGCAAGGGATGCGAAATTCGGCCGAGCGGGCAAAAATGTTTGCTAAGCGTATCGAGATATCGTTCGATATTCACGAGCCGACATCACTAAACGGGCCATTAAATTATTCACCGAAAACCATAACGGCCACTTTAACCCGGGTCCGTAGAGGCCGGGGGCTGAACCACGTGCGCGGACACGATGAGAAAGAGACACCGCGTGGACAATAATTCACGTTTTATTTCCTCCTCGCGGCAGGACGTGCAGGAAAGGAAAGGACACGCAATGATAAAAATGTCGCCGCGGTCGACGTGGCGGATCAGAAATCTTAATATGTCCTGGTCGGATGTCCACAGTCGTCCGTGGAGAGTCAGCGATTTCCAGCCAATATAAATGTCCTACATTGATTTAGTTCTCCTTTCCTGTCCCCTCTTCCCCGTAGGTCTTACGATCTATTGAGAGGGTGGAACGGAAAAGACAGCAGTGTGGTCGAGGTCGAGGATGCAGAGAAAGCCGGACTGGACCAACGAAAATGTCTCTGTCAGGGAAATTAGCCGTCGAGAAGGCACTGCGCACCCTTCTGTCCTTCTTGAAAGACGGATGTTATGAAACCTTTGGAAAATTGAGCACGTGAACGCCACCTCACATTCTCGATCAACCGCGTCGTCGTTGTCATCGTCGTTCATCCCCCGTATATATTCCCGAAATTTTACATCCATAGTCGTGCATGATTCACAGCTCATCTCGCTTGACTTTTACTTAACACACTGTACAAGATCGATTTGCAAAATGATTTAACTACTGTGATCTGTCGCTTTGTAACTACGAGATTAGAAAATGTTATACATATTTACACTTTTTAAAACTAAAGATATGATAATGCTAAATAATAAAGGAAAATAATAATGAAGAATAATTTCGTTTATCAAACACAACAATTATTTAATGAATAAATTCTGAAACAAAAACCACGCTTACTTTCTCTTCGCATTGACTCTTCCCTTTGACCGTTATAAAGTACACGTGGGCGGAAATGAACTGAAGGGTATAGTCAAGACAAGGCGGTACACGAAGAAAGAGAAAGAGAGAAGAAGAGAAAGGATAGGGGAAGATGTAAAAGGCGGAGGGTCACTATCAACGAGATAATGGATCGTCGATTATCCCCTTATTAATTACTACGGTGAGACGTTTGCCTGTCAAGAAGCGACAGACGAAACCAGGTGCCTTCCGAACGAAGTAATGAATTTTTTCCTTTTCTCGTTGAGTCGCTGGACCCTGAGAATTCCTACAAAGACGTCTCCTATCATCGAATAATCTCTCTCGCATCGAATGAAGATGTCACGAGAATATCGTTGAAATTTATTCAATTCGTTTTCGTTACTAATTTTCGACGCACGGAAACCGGATTTATTATTTTACGCCCGAACAGA